CAACAGGTAGGAGAAAAGGACAAGCAGGGAAGATTCTTACTTCAGATTGCCCATGACAGATCACTAAACCACAGACCAAGAAAAAAAGCCTGAATCTAACAGAGGTGAAGAAATGAATGCAGCCAGAGTCAGTTCTCTGCACCCATTTCAGCACCCCAAGTCCCACCTGAGCCACGGGCAGCACAGACACCTCTCACTAAACATTTCCTCCCACTGTGGTATCACAAAAGGCTGAAAAAGTGGCCACACTTGCTACAAAGTAGACCTTAGAAGGTAAATATTTATGGGGGAGTAGCTTCTATTTCAGCATCTTAATTTACTCAAAGACTGCAGTAGGGTTCTTCAAATACAACATGCAGAACTTCAAAGAGTTTTTCTCCTGCTGGTTTTCATAGCAATGAAAGTAATTGCCACTCCCAAAGCCACATGGGTTTTGCTTTCAAGTTTTACCCTGTACATTTGATTTAGATGGGAGTTTACTAAAGCAGCAGTAATTATAAACCAGAGATTTGACTTTGTTAGGAAGAATACAGACTATTTAGAAATTCAGGTAGAAGTTTAAATGTTTTCCATTTAAGTTTATTTCAAGAACATAAAATATATTCAACCTGTAGATGTGTAACTGTATTTACCAACAAAACTATTCCTTCAATCCTGTAAGAAACATATTTTCTCCCCTTGAAAGATCCAAACTTTCACAGATAAAGAATTTGCATCAGGAATAAGGTTTCCACCTCAGAAGCCAAGAAAAAAAGGCTGCAAACTGCAGAGATAATTTGGAAGCCAGTTAAAAAGCATAGAGAATTTAAATAATTAAATTTACAACACTGGAATGTTTGATGCACTGATGCAGCCTGAACATGCACAAAATACATTTCTGGTACGAATCACTGTCTTGTGCCTGCCATGAAAAATGTTACTCAGAAAGCCTGAAAGGGAACTAATGACAGGTAGATATAAATATCTGATCCTTCACCTTTACTGCTGGCATCCAAAGTGTTCTTTTGAGAAATATGTAAGAACATTCTCCTGTGAGCAGTGCTACCCAGAACAGTAACTAAATTCTCATCTGACTTCAAGCACCTACTTCAAGTTTTGAAAGACAGGCTGATCACTTGATTGCAGGTGATGACAGAATCCTTTGCCACATCTAAATTAAAGCTGCTGCACAAATCTTCAGCTTCCCTGCAGTGCTGTGCAGTTGTTTTGCAACACTGCATGACTTCCCAGCATAGCTGTAACTATCCTCACCAATGTGAGGATATCCTTGCAGTCCTGGGAAATAACACAAGAAATTCAGTGTATTTGTAATCAAATTCCATATCCTGCATCCCTTTATTAGACAACAAAACAGAAATTAAACATCTATATTCAGATAACTTAACAGCACTTGCCAAAACATGCAGAAACTGGCTTTAGAATTCATGCTGAAGTAAACCCTGGCAATAAGCATGTAGTTCCTAAATTAGCCAACATTAACATTTGATACAAATATGTCAGCTATCATAAAATTCCATACCAGAAAGAATAAAAATAGCCTCTTACAACACAGCTCTTGTTCTGTCCAAACACAAGATTACCAAATCAGTCTTAAAACAAGGACCATTTTCTGTGTGGCATTCAAAGCTTGCCTGCCAGATGTCAGAGCTGGGGAAGGAGCAGCTCCAGGAGCTGAGAGGGCTCCGATTCCTGCACACCCTGCTCACACCTGCAGCCACAAAGCACAACAAAATCTCTGTTGTGCTTTGGTTTATTCAGAAATCTTTGTTGTGCACGTGGTTTGTTCAGGAAACGGGGCTGCTGCTCCCTGGACATCACTGAGGCTGCTGCCAGAGCTGGCCCAGCTGAGAACGGATCACTTTACTGGTGTTACTGGGAAAAGCAACTACAAAGTGAGTGTTATTCCTGCAGAGCTGATAGAAATGCCAATTCTGAGATTTTTCTCACAGAAAGATTTCTGACAGTGCTCTGCATCACAAATATTTCCATCATTACTCATGTCCAGAAGATACTGCACTGCTGTAAAACACCCAAGAAATCAGCACTGAACTTGAGTGAGGAAATGCATCAATTCTCTTCCTGAGGGCTGCCAGGCTTTGTGTCTCCAGTGAGAACCCTCCCAAGGCAATGATTAAAATCAGCATGAAGTTATGTTTGAACAATTAAATGTCTAAATAATTAAATGTCCATTATCTGAACTTGAGGACAGGAATGCCCCAGAGCTGGGGAAAATGTAAGTAAGCATTTAACAGGTTTCATTCAAGTTGGTTTGGTTTTTTTCCCCCTCTCTCACACACATGATTATAAAAATGAAGGAAGTTGATGCTGACAGTTTAATTTTTCTGTGACCAGGAAAGGTTTGATCTTCCATTTTTACAATCCAGCTATTACTGACTGATTTTTTTTTGCTGTCAACTTCAAATTTATTGGGATTTTTTTCTCTCTATACATGCACTTCACAATTTCTTACCATGCTCCTCTGAGCAGTTTGCAATCACTTAGATAATACAGCTTTGTGGGGAGCATGTGAATACTGCAGTATTTGTACAGAAATGCTGCAGTTCCACACAGGCAACACTTCTGCAGATTCTCTGTTTAACTACAAAAACACCAAGGAAAAGAGCATTAAAAAAGAACAATGGAATTCAGAAATAAAAGGTAAAAGTCTCCTGAACTGTAAAGTCAGAGTAGCACTGTACTTCACTATATAGAAAGAAGATCAGTGTTAAAATAAGATCTAATATTTTTAATGTTTCTACAGGATTTTGGCTGCAATTGTATGTGTATTCTGAGTTCTTTTAGCTACAAAAAATCCAGTGTGTCAAGAGCAGGATGTGATTACTGAACAGAACAAAACCATCTCACTTATCCCAGAAATCTCCTTACTTTATCTGTGATCTGAAGGAAGCCACGTGATACATTCAGCAGTGACTTGTTCTGCTGCTCTTATAGAGAGCTGTAAGATACAGACATTGCTAAATTTGCTTTTTCTTATCCACTGCCACATGTGTGGAAGACTTTGGGCAAGATTTCTGGGAGAAGTTTATTCTGCAACTAATACACCAAACACATTTTCAAGTGCTGAAGTGCATTATTTTTACTAATTTACTTACAGCCATCACTCAGAATTCCACGTGACCAATGACCAGTGCCATGCTCAGAATGCTTTAATGCTTTTAATTGTTTTTAAATGAAGAAGCTTTTAATTTGTTCAAGCTAAACTCAAATGCAGGCAAACCTCCCGTGCTGTATCTACAAGGCCTTTGGTACTAACAGAGCACAGATAACCCAGCACTGCTGCTTTGAACAGTGATCTAAAAACTGAAATGTTTTTACCTCACAGTGTGTCTGTTTACAGAGAGATTGATCCTACAAGGACTTACTGGGAGTGTCCCACTCTAGAGCTTCTCAGCTGTTAACTCTGTGCAGTGAACACTCCAGGCCATGGTAAAAAGGTTTCAAGTCACCTCCTCTGCTCATTTCTCCCACTCATTCCCAGAGTTTCCCTCTAAGGGTTTGCACAGGGGGATGTGGCACAAAGATCCAGCACAGCCAGGATGGCTGCAAGTTTCAGAGCTGTTTAACAATGACATTTAGGATGAAAAATTTCAGTACCATGGGACAACTCTTGAGTCCTGAAGTTCCTATCCCAATAAAAAGAGATTTAAATAAAAATTTGGCTTTTTTTCCTGCCTTGCCAAAAGCACAGTGTTCTCATTCCATGACACCAGACATCATCCCTAAGCTGCTTGAGAACATTTGTGCTGTGCTGAGCTGCCCACTGGGCATTCTTAGGTGCTCAAAATCCCATAAAAGAACAAGTCACCTCTCCTGCTCACTGGCTATAGAGAAATACAGTCCTTTTGCTCACAGCAGCTTGGTGGGTGATGTGCCATGAGCCTCCCAATTGTGCTGGCTGTAACTGCTACATCCACAGGGACAGGATTTTTATGCTAGAAATCAGAAACAAGACTGATTAGTTCAATCACAAACTGTTATTTATTGAATGGTTCTACACCAAGTACAGAGATACAAACCATGCCTCAGGAACAGCTCACAATCCAAGCCAGGATTTCCCCAATACATTCCACAGAGATCAGAAGTTCACATTCAAATGGAATTTTGGAAGTTTTGTTAACATTTGGGTTAGACATAATAGAATCAGAGAATGGTTTGGGTTGGAAAGAACATTAAAAATATCATCCAATTCCAACCCCCTACCATAGCAGGGACAACCTTCACTATCCCAGAGTGCCCCAAACCCCCTCCAAGCTGGCCTTGGGCACTGCCAGGGACCCAGGGACAGCCACAGCTGCTCTGTGCCAGGGCCTGCCCACCTTCCAGGAATTCCCTCCTCTATGGAAGCTCTCAGTCAGTGCAAAGCCATTCCCCCATCCTGTCACTCCATGCCCTTGGCCAAAGTCCCTCTCCAGGTCTCCTCTAGGTTCCCCTCTGACACTCTCCACTTTATCCCCTGCATAGAACAGAATGACAGCACAGAATCAAAGCTCCCTCAACACTAAATGCCTCATCTTCTACAAATTCTGTAGAGATCTTCAGCCATCTTTATACTTACAACCCAGATCCAAACACCAAAATTCCAGACCTTTCCTCCATGTCAGGCCTTGCCTGCAGTCAATTCCAAACAAGTCCTGTGTGCTTTGTGCATTATTAAACCTTCAGAGCTTACCTGCACCACCTCTGCTCACTGAACTCTCTGGAGAACTCTCCCATTACTTACCAATTGCTAAAGCATCAGATTTAATTAAAAGAAAAAAATACAAAACCCACTTTCAAAGCAGAACTTCCATGGGAACCACACCTAAATTAATAATTTATTTCTGTCAATTAACACAATGGTGCCCTGCTGTTGCTTTAGGTAACCCTTAGAGATGCCTTTTAGCTCACAGTGAGCACTGTCAAACAGACGCTCATCATTCTGGAATAAAAATTACGGATCTGTTACTCCACAATATAAACTATGCAAAACTATAAATAAAATTAAAACTATCTGTATTACCATATGCCACCAAAAAAAAAAAAGATCGGTATAATCTGTCAAAATGTGAAATTAAATTTAAAGCATTTGGTTTTATCATAGGCTTCGGCCTGTAACTGCTACTTAGCAAAGTCAAAGCTCGTCTCTGAGACCAAACTCCCTCAGAGGACCGTGACAGGTGCGGGTGTCCCGCCTCGTACCGCCGCACTCCGTACAGGCAGCACAACCCCCCCGTCTCCCAGAGGAATCCCTCGTGTCCCCGCACTGCTATCGCTGTCCCTGCAGAGAGAACCGTGGGGAAGCGCTGGAGCAGNCTTCTTGGACTTTTATTAGATGGTTACTGCTGCAGGAAAAAGTCTTCACAGGAAACAGTGAGGAAAATAAAATCAGTCTAAAATATACACTAGCAACAGGTAGGATAAAAGGATAAACAGGGAAGATTCTTATATATATAAGAATATATATTTATATATTATATAGAAATATAAACCAGCAACAGGTAGGATAAAAGGATAAACAGGGAAGATTCTTATATATAAGAATATATATTTATACATGTATTTATATATTATATAGAAATACAAACCAGCAACAGGTAGGAGAAAAGGATAAACAGGGAAGATTCTTATATATATAAGAATATATAGTTATATATTATATTATATTATGTATTATATAGAAATATAAACCAGCAACAGGTAGGATAAAAGGATAAGCAAGGAACATTCTTATATATATAAGAATATATATTTATATATTATATATAAATACAAACCAGCAACAGGTAGGATAAAAAGATAAACAGGGAAGATTCTTATATATATATTTATATATTATATAGAAATATAAACCAGCAACAGATAGGATAAAAGGATAAACAGGGAAGATTCTTATATATATAAATGTATTTATATATTATATAGAAATATAAACCAGCAACAGATAGGAGAAAAGGATAAACAGGGAAGATTCTTATATATATAATATATATTTATATATTATATAGAAATATAAACCAGCAACAGGTAGGAGAAAAGGACAAGCAAGGAACATTCTTATATATATAAGAATATATATTTATATGTTATATAGGAATACAAACCAGCAACAGGTAGGAGAAAAGGACAAACAGGGAAGATTCTTATATATATAAGAATATATATTTATATGTTATATAGAAATACAAACCAGCAACAGGTAGGAGAAAAGGACAAGCAAGGAACATTCTTATATATAAGAATATATATTTATATATTATATTATATATTATATAGAAATACAAACCAACAACAGGTAGGATAAAAGGATAAACAGGGAAGATTCTTATATATATAAAATATATATTTATATATTATATAGAAATATAAACCAACAACAGGTACAATAAAAGGATAAGCAAGGAACATTCTTATATATATAAGAATATATATTTATATATTATATAGAAATATAAACCAGCAACAGGTAGGAGAAAAGGACAAGCAGGGAAGATTCTTACTTCAGATTGCCCATGACAGATCACTAAACCACAGACCAAGAAAAAAAGCCTGAATNCAGCCCTCAGCCTCCCCCGCTCTTGTTTTGCAGTGTTGCCCGTGCGAGGAGAAGTCCCGGAGCTGGAATCGCTCGCATAACCCTGAAAGATGAAGGTAGGCGGCTCCGGCGGGAGCGGGGATCGCCGCCCTGCTCGCCCGCCGCTCCGGAGATTTCATTTTTAATCGTTCTCCGTCTGGGCACGGCAGCAGCGGGAGAACGCGGGGTTCGCTGCGTGCTGTGAGTGCTGCTCCTGCTCCCCGGCGAGGTGCAGGTGATTTAAAGCTCTCCCCGCCGTGCAGGAGCGCTCGGAACATCCTCATCGCCTCTGAGTTGTTGTTGTCCTTCGGGCTCCCGTCTTTAAACGCTTCCTGTATCAGCAGCTGCTATGGCAAGTTTGCAAAACCACAGCTTTTGTCCCGCCTTTGCTGTTGCCGGTTTGCTCAGTACAAAGGCTCAACAATTGCAGTATAATTTACAAAACTTTTCCTTTTCCCTTCAGAGTTGAATGAAATAATCAAGTTATAAAAAAACCCCTGTCCATATCCCATTTTATTTTAGATTCTGCATGCATTTCCTGTCTTTTCAATGTGGTTATTTTGTCCTTGTTTATCGGTTGCAATGAGCACGGTAAAGTGAAATGTTGAGTATCAAAGTTCAGGTTAAGGAAAACGTGATGAATATTTCTCTTTAAAAATGCACTGGCAATTAAGTTTTAATAAAGGCATTCCAGGAAAGAAAAATAATTGTTAATAGCTGTTTGAAAGATTGCAACAGATTTCTCTAGAGGTCTCCTTTTAGTCAGCAGGAAAGAAATCCTATATATAGAATGTTACAGACTTAATTGTAAGTGTTGGGATGACACCAATCTCAAACGTTTTCAATAATCTGTGTCATTGGATTGCTTATAGCTGAAAAAATACAGCTGTCTGTTGCCTTTTTGTACATGTAGTTGAGTTAATAGTTGCTCCTTTACTTTGTTGCCCTTTTTATAAGCAGTCTTCAGTATCACTGTGAATATCCTCAAAAACATTTCTGGGAGAGGCTGGCAATGAATTGACAGGAGGTGTGTGTCAACATCAGTGACAAACCAAAACTTCCTGTAACTTGTTTGTTGGGTTGTTTTTTTTTTCTCCCTTTTGAAGAACTCTGTGCTGGCAATCTCTAGGACAGACAACGTATCAATTAAAAAGTCAACAGGTCTAAAAGCCTAAGTGTAAAATGAAATAAATAACGATGCAGCTGTAAGTTTAAGCAAGAGCTGAAGTTTGTTTTTGTGTTTTTTGTTCCCCTGCAGGCAGCAGATGAGCCTGCCTACCTGACAGTGGGGACTGATGTCAGTGCCAAGTACCGAGGTGCCTTCTGTGAGGCAAAGATCAAGACGGTGAAGAGGCTTGTGAAAGTCAAGGTGAGTGTCTGAGACTGCTGCTGGTTTTGGTGAAACATGGTGCTGAAAGGAGTTCCTGAAGATTAGAAAATGTACATCACTTCACTGTATGAATTTTAAACACTTAAATATGTGTTTTTTCATATTTTGTTTTTTCGTTCAGAATGAGTTTTTGGGGGGTTTTTTGCTTAATTTTGTTATTTTTATTTGGGTTTTTTAAGTTCTATTTTTTAGTGGGATGCTGGGACAAAAATGAGCATTCTTGCTTCTTTTTTCCTGACTGCATTTGTCTTCTGTTCTTAAATGCATCAGTTTCCCAGCAATAAGTTTTGATGTCACAAATACAGGATTATGGCTTTACATGAATAATAAGGAATAAGAGCAACCTCTTCAGAAGCAAAAGTTCCATTTCATTCCAGCTGGCACTCTCACTTTTACAATTTGGAACTGAAAAGGCAATGCAAAAATAAGTTAACAGCAAGAGAGATGGCAATAATTTGTTTCTTAGGCCAGGTTTCAGCAATGCCTGGGGTAATATTTGAGTTTTGAGCATGTTTATTCAGCTCTAGAGCAGCTTGATGCTAAAGCAGCATGCCCTGGCTGTAGCTGAGTGTTTGTGCATGGGTAGTATTGGCACATGGTATTCATTCACATTTGCAGGGCTTTTGGAAAAACAAACAAAGACAAAGTTGTCATTTTGGTGTTGTAATACTGTAGTAATGTAAATGCCACTATGTGAGAATAAGAATAAAACATTGTTAAATGCAAGTTAAAACTGAAAGTAAATACAGAAGTTGTTTTTCTTCTTTGTGTTGTTAAAGTCTTCCTACTTCCTACTTTAGTGCCTGCTGTTCAAGATATGTAAATAAGTCCTTAGTGACCCAAAATCCCCAAGAAATTGAGGTGAAAGCTGCTTTTTGTAACCATACATCCAAGCTTTTGTGTGCTTTAATGCCTACATCAAGTAGAACAATCCTCAGCCTCTTCAGTTACATATATAGATCATATCACTTTATCAGAGTGCTTTTCATCAATAGAAAAAAAAAAGTAATTCAGATCCTGGAGTCTTTTGCTTGTTCTTAATAAGTACTTAGGGGAACTTGTGGTGTTCTTTGAAATGTGTGTTAATGAGAAGCTCTGTAGGAAGCAGTGTGCAGGTCTGACAAGCTTCATTTTGTCTGCATCTTTGGTCTGGTAGAGTATTTAGCCTGTTAATAGGTAGGAATTGCTTTTTCTCATTAGAATCAGCTGCTTTATTGCTCCATGATAAGATTTGGAATTACACCAGGCTGCTGGGACTTGGTGGAAATTCCTGTCACTGCCTCTCAGTTCTGTTATAACAATAGGAGTTTTAACAAGCTGAGCCTGATACTGTCATTAAGATGTGCAGGCACACCCTGGCATGCTTGCCAAGAGTGCAAAAAGTCCAAAACATCCCCTGGCCTTTTCCTCAGCAGCAGCACAACCTGTATTCATCCCTCTGCATTTTTTATTTTAAATTTTGAATCTGGATGTGTGTTAATACTGCTGCTGGTTTGGCATGCCACTGGTGGTGTGTTTATAAATACAGTACAGTGGAGTCTGTGCTTGCAGGATCATTGGGGGAGCCAGAAAACTGAACATCACTTTTAAAGTAAGCTTCTGGAGCTTTTGGTTCCTGAAAACAAATAGAAATTTTGGATTTTTAAAAATTAAACTGCTTAGGATGATGTTAACTCTGTTTCCTCACTGTTCCCCTCTAGAATGTAGGATTTTAAAGGCAGAAGCAAAGTTTACTTACACTGTAACTAATCCTTGTTTTCATCAGGTGGGTGGTGTTCCACATCTTTGCCATAAAAAGTTGCTCAAGGTGGCAGAAATGCTGTTATCATGGCCAGTTTGGTGATTTTTTGATACATTTTTAATAAAGAGAAGTTTTTCTTTTGGTTGTAGTTTAGTATTGAAAGTGTTGTCAGTGAAATGCTGCATTTGAATCAGAGAGGGGAAAAAAACAAATGCTTAATCTTCTCATCTGGAAGCCCAGTCCCAGGTTTGCCCTGGATTGTGTCAAATTCTAAACTCACCTAAAAATGTATTTTCTTTCCTTTGCAATGACTGGTGTTTGATTTGCCCTGTTCTTTAAATGTGATGTTTCAGATTAAAAATTAAATGAGATACTTGGGGCTTAGTGTCAGTAAAATTAGCCATGCCAAGTGTTTTCTGTTGAGTAACATTTGAGTCTAATTGATAATTTTAATGTGGATAATAAGATTTTATATATATATATATATATACACATTTTCTTGTGGTTTTTGTTTATTAAAAATCAGATGTGTATTAAAAAGCTGATGAATATTTTTCAGGTGGTCTTGAAGGGGGATAACTCAACTCAGTTAGTGCAAGATGAC